GATCATACTTTAAGACAAGTGTATTATTATTATCCAATGAATATAATAATAATAATAATAATAATAATAATAATAATAATAATAATAATAAATATTCTTTACCTGCAGGACACAGTAACTTCTATCTTAGTTGCAGGGACTCTGGTGTTCAGAGGGTCGAATTCGCCTATTGAAGCCATCATCTCGCCTCACGACGCTGATGATCATCCGCAAAAAGCGCCTGGAAATCCGGACGAGTGGAAAGATGTGACGGTTCAGCACTTGGATCGTGATCGCAGTAAATCCATGGCTGAGATCTGCCTCTGGGTTTTCACCTGCGGAGCGGCGGAGGCGGGAGAGGAAGAGATTGTGTGGAGGGGGGAGAGTGAGAGTGGGGGCGGCGGTGGCTGGGGGGGAGAGACCGGCGGGAGGAGAGAGGCGGAAAGTTGGGAGGCAGATTTAAAGTTCATTCAGTTCCTCCGTCGTGTGCGGCGGGCGGCCACGCTGCGCTCCCAGGGTCTGTCCCGGCGGTGGTTCGGGAAGGAGGAGAGCGCCACCTGCCGGTGGCTCCTGGAAGCAGCGGCAGCAGGAAGAGCAAGATGCAGCTCGTTTGTCATTTCCAGGCGCGTTGGTGAACTTTTTTTTTTTTTCCACACATGTAAACGTCTAATACACTCCAGGTTATATAGTTGCGAACGGCATGTTTTGACTTCATTAGTGCTATTCAGATGCCTGACCTTTTCCGTCGTTTCCCGTCATCTCTAATGAGGGATTCCCCCTTCTCTGCCAAAATATATCTGGCTATTTCTGCATTACAACAATAGCAGTTTGAAAATCCTGTTTATTAGAAATACATCAGAGTTTTTTCCCCTTCTAACTTCATTTTAGGGTGAAAATACAGAAATTCTAATGTAGTAATATTATGCAGAAATCAACTAACAGGATTAAAACCCTAAAAAATAAGTTACTTAAAGAAAATTATCTACATATCTGTACAATAATTTGTGGAACAAAGTATCAGTTACAGTTTATCTTTGGTTAAGGAGTATGGGACTGCCATTTGTAAAGTTACACAGTAAAATAATTAACAGCAACATTTCAGTTTATTTAGCCAGTCAAAGATAGTCAGATTTTCACAATGATACATTTAAATGTCATACCTAGGTATTTAATTTACAAGCTACAGATTTAGTTTCAAACTTAATATTTAGCCTGTCACAGAGAAAGTCAAATTAAATGGATAGCAGTCTAAACAGTTAGCAAGCTAAAATATATTTAGCTATCGTTAACAAGCTAAATATGTAGATTTCTTGCCAAATATTTAATTAGGAAGCTTATTTTAAAAGCCTGAGCGAAAATATCTAGTTTGAAAATATTTTGTCATCACCATTGTAATTATTTAGTGCAGCAACTAAATATTTAGCCTGTCAGAAAAAGTCAAATGTAATGATTAGTAAATCAAATATTTAGCTAGCAATCTAAATAATCGACTAGCTAAACATGTAGCTTTCTTGCTAATTATTTATTTAGTTTGCAAGCAAAAATATTTAGGTCTGAGCAAAATATTTAGTTTGAAAATAAACATTTAGTTGGTACACTTAAAGTACATATTCAGCTCAGAGTTAAACATTTAGTTAGGAACTAAATATTTAATTTGTAAACTAAATGTTTAGTAAACTAAATGTTTAGTTTGTAAAATAAATATTTGGTACACAAAGTAAATATTTATGTCCAGCAAACACCTGGAAAGTAGTCTATGTGAGAGCTCAGCAGAAGTAGTTCTGCCAGGTGTTTGCTAATTGCTTCTGGCTAGTCTGAAGGAACTGAGTGGGGAAGAGGGAGGAGATGCATGGAAAAAGTGGTGCTCTGTCCACACAGGCGTTTTTCCACCACTGAATGGTTCACATGGAGACTGAAGGGTTTCTTAGACATGCATGAAAGAAATAAAGAATAAAAACACTCCAGGTATGTCTTTGAGGAGGGAAAACATTCTAACATGTTGTAAAGCTCAAGAAAATTGATTTTACATAATACTGTTCCTTTAACAGTTTGAAATTATCAGTACTTAAGTTCATACATGTAAAGTAATGTGTGGTTTCAGAGCCCTTCGTAGTTGGAATCTTCTGATTTCAACAGACAATTGTGTGTGTGATCTACATTAATGTTGAGGGAGTTGAAAGAAAATTTTAATTTTGAATTGAAAATCACCAACTTGAGAATGCTTAAATAAAAGAAGACTTAATCATTTCAAATGCATGACCTTATCAATCCCCTAGTATCTGGCTGTCTCTAGCATATTAGCTTGTTGATATTTTAGTGTGAAATTTCCCTCAGCAAAGCCTCCTAAAGTATTTATTCAAAACTGGGTTGATTATTATCTGACTATTTCTTCTTTCACATCTATTATTTGGTGCTGTTGCTTGAATAATTAAGCAAAATGACACTTGAACATTTTGTTCTACAAAATGTTCAAGTGCCCCTAACTTCAGCAGTCTTAAAGACAACACATAAAGCAAAGCATTAAGGAAGCGAAGATTGAGAATTTTTCTGAACTTTCACAGTGCAGCAATCTCAACTGGAAACATGGAGAACGGAGAGCTGCATTATCCTGGACTGCAGGGCTGTGCCCAGAACATGATCGGTTCACAGCAGCCGAGCAGCCTGTTCAACCTGCTTCCATCTGGAGGAAAAATAGAACCGCATCTGTAGCAGCAGACTTCACAGTGGTTTCCTTCATCCTGCTGAGAGGCGACCAAATTCATCCTCTACACACTTCACTGAGATCCTTTGCTTGTTGCATGATTGATTTTTTTTGTCTGTGTGTGTGTGTGTGTGTGTGTGTGTGTGTGTGTGTGTGTGTGTGTGTGTGTGTGTGTGTGTGTGTGGGGGGGGTTTTCTTATGTAAACTGTATAATTAATTCAAGGCCGACTAATAATTCATAGATTTTTGCTTTATTGTAAAGTAAAACATTCCATACAGAATAATACTTTTGGTTACTGATGTCACAATTTCTATAACTGTCTGTAACCAGTATTTTTAAAATGTGACATGTCTGCTATTAAATGGTGCAGCTATTTTCTCTCCAGCACAAATCATAATTCCAAGGTATGGTCTCAAATAAAAAAGTGAAATGTTATAATTTACTCCATAGTTTGGGTTTCCACATTTTACAAAGAAAGTCAACCAAAGCTTTACATTTGTGGTTGTTTTATTGTTTTGGATCACTGTTTTATAATGTCTGTTGATAAAATTCAGATAAGCCACGTAATATTATTTTTTTGAATGCCTCAGAGAATTATTAGAGAACATTGGTGAACAAACAGCATCATGAAAATCAAGGAATACATCAGAGAGGTCAGGAGGGAAGTAATTGAGAAATTTAAAATCAGAGTTAGACTATAAAACAAAATTTCATGCAGCTCTGTTCACTCCATCATCCAAAATGGAACAGAGCATGGCAGAACAGCAAACCCACCAAAACATGACATCCAAGGAAAACAAATGGCAGAGAGGAGAAGGACTTGGCCAACGGGCTTATGGTAACTCAAGAGATGCTTGTGAAGATTGACAGAACAACATAGACAAGTCTATGAGTGCCAAAAAAGTCACTGTTTTCACAGCAAACTACAAGACATTCTGCTTGAAGTTTCTCACAAGCAATATAAAGGACACAGCAAGCATGTGGAAGTCCAAAATTGTACTTAAAAACATACAGAACCCTGGACTGGCCATTGCATCCCTACGTATTCCTGCTCTCATTTCTCATTTCCCTTGAGTGATCTGTTTGGGATTTCTGTTATATTCACAGAAATCACAACTTGATTTCTGTGAAAAAATTTTAACCGGGCCAATCAGCGAATAGAAAAAGGAGTTGTGAACAATGTGGAGTCTCTGGATTGTTTTTGGAGGTTAGGGTTAACCCAGACTGGAGGCCCCTCATCTAGCAACCCCACAGGAGCCTGGCCTGGTATCAAGTGTTTGTTACCATTCAAAAACCACTTCTGATTGTTGTTGTTGGTTGTGCAGGAGGCTCGACTTCTGCTTTTCAGTGATCTGCAGTTGCACAAATGCGCACTTGCCATTTCCAACGTTTAGTTGGGGCATTGTGGCTTAGTAGCAGATTATTTTCATTTAAAGTGGCAAGAGGCTCTAAAACTGCTGAACTAAAGCAGAACTGAGCATACCACAATCTCATTACCAAACGAAGATTGTGTGCAAAAAATGTGATGAACATGTTTTGTATAGTCCACAGAGTTATTTTTACCTGTTCAAAGACGCATAATAGGTCACGTTTGAAAGTTATGCTCTACTTTGTATAGGTCTATCATGTAAAATACCAAATAAAGTCTAGAGTGTAAAGTACTAAATTCTTTTAAAAAGGAAGCACCTCCTGCATTTATATTCAGTGGAACATATATTGAGTTGGGCCTCCACTCCCACTGTCAATTAGCACCAAAGGAAAACCCAAGCTGCCATCCTCTAACGAGACATCTCCGCTTCTAAATCTGGATGGCCTGCTCCACCAAGCAATTCCTCGTTAATCAATTCTCCTGTAAGCGTCAAGAAACCTCTTTAGAGCCTCCAATGAAGACCTCATCATCCCATCATTTGTGAAACAAAGTCTTGTATTTTTGGAAAATGTAACGATACATGGGTCTGACAGTCATATGAAAACCTGCCCAAACATATGGAGGGAAAAATCAAGAGGAAAAAGAGAGCGCAAGCAGGAAATGATGATGTTTACTGTCACACGAACTTGGTAGGGAGTTAAGCTAAAAAAAAGGGGGAAACTCATTCTCCCGAGAAGATTCAAGTCGAACAATTGTCCAAAACATTCAGGGCTTTGCAGATGGTTCGTCTGTGACAGACCGTGAATGTGACTATATCAAGTTTCCCCTGGTCTTGTTGCACACTGATAACAGCAAATAGCGCGTGTGTGTTTGTGTGCGTGTGTATTCCTCTGTCTGCATGTGTGTCTGCAGATCTACTCAATTTTGCAGCTGATCAGGCAGAAATTGAAAATGTTCATGGGGCCAAGGAGACAGCAGAGAGAGAAAATGGGAAGTGGGGCAGAGATGGAGAGAAAGGAAGATGGAGGACGTGGTGAAGGGGTGGGGGGTGTTGGAATGGGATGAAGAGAAAAGCTAGAGGAGGCAGAAGAAAGTCATGTTATTTACCCAATTCCCCCTTTGGATCGTCCATAGAGGGGACGCGTAATCGCATGATAAAAGGGGACGAGGGAGTGTGTGTGTGTGTGCGTGCGTCTGCGTGTGTGCGTGTGTGTCAGTGGAGTGGCAGCTAATTTTCCAAGGAGGGGAAGTCCTGTTTAGTTTTCATCTCAGGGTCCAAGCAGAAAGCAGGTCCATACTGACAGAAAGAATGGAAAATAGATGATATTCTTTTGTTTATTCAAAAATGTTCCCCTGATATAATCTGCTCATTCCACTTGCCTTATACCATGTGGTATGAAGTCTGAGGTCAGGATGTTCTAAGTGTTTTCTTATTTTAGAAAGACAGCCATGACTGTAAAAT